GTTAGGGTTAGTTTAGTTAAAACTAGGTAATATACATACCTCTGCTGAACCCAACACTTGTCAACGTTAATATGTCTCAATATGTTGCAAGCAAATGACAATGTGGGCCCCCACTGTCAACTGCTCAATCCTTCTCTTCCCTCAAGTCACCTGCCATACTGTGACTCTTCTGTTCCACATATGACAAAGGAGGGGACAAGTCAGCCCATGATATTCAGTACTGGTGGAGCTGGATATCTCTGTCATCTCTCCAGGCTCATGGTTTTAGAGGTTTAAAGGAGTCTGCCTACGCATACAATGACTTTTAAACTTAAAGCAAAATCATAGATCCATTTGAGGAACTTCCCTCCCCTCGAAAAAATGCCTTTACCTACAAACATCTGCACTGAGGAGGGATGGTCACCGAAACCCTGAGGCCTACGATTGAGAGCCCCCTGTCTAAACACACTTTATGTCCTCACAAAAGAAATGTGTTTGATTATAGAAGCATTAAGGTTTATCCACAGGTATTTTTAAAAGGTATAAACTTTATGACTCTGATTTTTCAAGCCGGGTCCCTTCTTTTGTGATCTTTTGTGTCACCTGTAGGCAATGTAGCAAGTCATTTCCCAGCCCCACCAGAACCCTTTAAACATCTTAAGGCTCTCCTCCAGGCCGTCCCCCGTAAAACAAGAGATACGTTAGAACTTCTTCTAACCAGAAAAACAGAGGCAGCGTTTGTTTGATTCTCTGTTCTCAAAAGAGTCCATAGAAAACAATGCAGATTTCTTCTCCCAGGAGTTACATCACGGTTTTCTCCAATGACGTCAGCAGGATACAAACCACCACCTCATGGCCGAAGGGAGTGTATTGGGACTAGTTTCTGTCCTTGTCTCTGTTCCCTGCCCAGTCTATGTGCTCAGTATTTTCATACTGCTGTCCCCCACTGATACCGGCGTTCCCTTAACCTTGCGTCAATCTAAATCTCTCCCCCAATTCAACCTCTCTTTTCCAATATCTGCTCCTCCTTTTTAAGAATCTTCAGTGAAATAACTGACTGACCCACCACAGTCTCATGCAATCTAATTTCACCGTGTATTAATTTCAAAGTCTTGTCATTGTAGATCTACCACAATAGTTCTCCAAAACCTACACCACCTCTTTGAGCAGCGTCTCCTGGCCACCCTGCTCTCTCCTGGGGTATCATGTTGCAGAGAGAGGTGAGGACATGGGAATTGGAGTCAGAAGAAACAGAGTTCAAATTCAGGATTACAACTGGCAGTAGCTGTGGCTTTGAGTTAGGTACTTATCTTTTCTGGAACTCAGTCTCCTTATCTCTACAGTGGAAACAAGGATATTTGCTGTTTTTGACTATCGTGAGGATTAGGCCTTTTCTTTTCTAAAAAGTGAATATCTTTAAAAAAAAACCCCACACATTTGAAACTACAGTTTTATTGTTTTCTTTTTCCCATCCTTTCTTGCCTCCCCCCCAAAATGTTATTCTTTTGTTTTATGGTTTATACTTTTGTGTATTTGAACAGCTCAGAGTACTTATTTTAAAATCTTTTTCAGGTTGCTTTATTATCTCCAGTTCCTGAGGTGCAAATTCTGTAATTTTTTGAAACTGGTGACTGTCTCTTTTGATGGATTGTTTTTGGTATGGTTCTTAATTTTTGACTTTAAGCTCCTCTTCATTGATGAATATTCCTTCTTTCTTTCTTCCTTTCTTTCTTTCTTCCTTCCTTTCTTTCTTTCTTCCTTTCTTTCTTGATCCTCATCTGAGGATATGTTTATTGATTTTAGAGGAAGAAGAAGGGAGGGAGAGAGAAGGAAGAGGGGAGAGAAACAGAGAGAGATCAAGGTAGAGGTAGAGATAAAGAGGGAGAGGGAGAGAGAAAAACATTGATTGGCTGTCTCTTGTACATGTCCAATGACCAGGGATTGAACTCACAACCTGGGGTTGTGCCCTGACTGGGTATTGAACCCTCAATCTTTCAGTATATGGGATGACATTCCAACAAATTGAGCCACCCAGCCAAGGAGGAGAATGTTTTCTATAGGTGTCCCATATATCCTAGATCGTAGGAGTGCCCAAGAGCCTTGTTATTAAAAAATCAACCTCTTCTCTGCTCAAGGATACTTTTAAGTAGTTGCCCCCTCCCTCCCCTGCAATATGATTTTTTCCTTCTTACTGAGTCATTCCATTTAGCATAAAAACATATTGTAATAACCTCTAATTTGTCTTGTTTGGATATCCCTCTTTGCACCAAAACTTCTTGAATGAATAATCTATATTTGTTGTTTCAGTTCTTCTCCTCCCATTCCCTACTGAACATGTTCCATTCAGACTTTTTCTACTCCCAACTACTCTTATCAAAGTCACTAATGTTTCCCCTGTTGCTAAAACCAATGGCCAATTCTCCATCCTCATCAGATGTTTGATCACTAGCATTTGATCCAGTAGATTACTCCCTCCTCCTCCTTCTTTGAACATTTTATGCACTTGGCTTCCAGGACATCACTCTCTCTTGGTTTTCCTCCTACCTCAGCGGCTCCTCCATCCCTTTCTTCTTGGATGGACTCTCCTTATCTCCCTGACCCTTCTCGTTGGAGTGTCCCAGGGCTCATTTCTTATTCCTCTTCTCCTCTTCATTTTCACTCATTGTCTCAGGGCTTGTGCATTTGTTATTTCCTCTGTCTGGAAGGCTCCCTCAGATACCCACAAGCTTTGCTCCTTCGCTTCAAGTCTGTGTTCAAGGTTGCTTTATCAGTTCGCCCTTCCCTGGCCATCCTATACAAATTATACTTCATCCCTAACGCTACTTATGCCCCCCTTATCTTCATTTAATTTTTTCCACATCACTTATCCCTACCCAACATGCTTATTATTACTTGTGTATTTATTTATCATCCAGCTTTCTCACAAAATATAACTCCCATCAGGGCAGGGAGTTTGTTTCGTTCACTATTGTATACCCGGATGATGGAACAATACTGGGCACAGAGGAGGCATCTGATAAATATATATTGAATGAGTGAGTGAATAAATACATGAAAAGAAATGACATCTTTCCACTATTTCCTAAGTTGAGGTAGATGTCTCCCAATTTTTAAACTTTCGTTTTTAGTTGTTCAGTCTGTTCAGGAAGAAAAGAAGTTTTATGCTTCATCTCAAGTTGCTGGCTTATAAAGAAATGATTCAACTGCCAAGGGTCCCTTCTACACTCAGAAACACCTACCAGTGTTAGAGTTCTTGGTCTGAGGTTCGTAGGCTCCCAGGATGGACTTCAGGGCTCTCTTTGTGAGCTCCCTGAATTTGTGTATAGATATGTATGTGCACCATCTTTGCGAAAAGATTTATAGCTCCCACCAAATATCCACAAAAGGGTCTGTGGCCCAATTCATGCTTTTGAATTGCTGTTATCGTCCTTGGATAGTGATCAGCTAAAAGCTAATAGATTTAAGATAATAAGCCCCCACTATCTTCCCTCCCAAACCAACTCATCTGTTGACTTTCTTAGAAACAAAGCACTTTGGTGTTGAAAGTAACATCCACTGCAAAGGGCCCTAAATGTTCCTGATACATTGTTACCCACCCTCTGCTCAGGAACTAATAAAGCAACATTGTCATCTTCAGAAACTTCTACCTGGGCTAAGCTGAAAAGCTTTCAGTGAGTCTTCTGTAGTCCCTAGGATCTAGAGAACATGTCGAATCCCTTTTCCACTGGCCAGTTTTTCAGATATGTGAGTAGGTCATGATCCATACCCACTCCTTACCCCGAAGCTTTACTTCTCCGGAGCAGATATCCCCAGTTCCTCCTTACATGGGACCGGGCACTTCACCCCACTGGCCAATCCTTTTTTGAATGGTCTCCTGTTTGCTAATTGCCCGAGACTGTTGTCCCTATAATACCACACCCAGAACTGCGATTTGGACATGCTGCCTCTGATGACCGCGTGGCAGAGTGCAGGGTGGCCTGGAAATGGCCAAGCCTGGAAGTGTGGATACTGGCGACCAGGCTGCGGCTGCCGCCTCCGTCACGGAGAAAGGAAGAGGTGCCTGAGACGTACAGGCGTGGGAGAATCGTAGCCTGCGGAAAAAAGGGCAGGAGAGGGGAGGTAGGAGGCAACGATGACATTCCCTCGGAAGAAGTGCATGTTACAGGGAGGAGGGTCTGATGGGAGAGAAGAGGGAAGGAGACGGGCGGAGGAGAAACGAAGATGGGAAGAGAGGTTGGCGCCCCACTGAACTCCAACCCTGAAAGGGAGACGTGGAAGCAGAGCGCCGGGGAAACGCAGCGTTGACGAGAGTTGGAGAAGCAAGATGGAGCGAGGTCGGGGCAAAGCAAACGCCTCCGGAATGCCAGGTGAGGTAAGAAAGGCAACAAGGCGCGAGACCCCGGGTTAAGAACCAAGGATAATGGCACAGATTTTCATCTCTGCGTGTGGAACCGGCAGAAACGTCTGGGACAGACAAGGGAATTATCTTTGTGGCCCTCGCAGTTCTTGGTCCAGTGCCTGGACAAACCAGAGCCTTAATTAAGGCGTGTTTGCTGAGGACCAAAACAACGCAGGATGCTAGAATGAATAACTGAACGGCCGGCCTCGGGCGGCAAAGAGCAGCCTTAGCGTAGCGGGGGCACGGCAATTGGAACCCGCCCCTCAGTTCCGGCCCCTCCCCTCGCCCCGCCCCGCCCCCTACCCCTCCTTCCCGCCGCCTGAGGCGCGCGCAGCTGCCAGTCTCCCGGAAGTGCGCCCAGTTTCGGCGCCGCGGGCCGAGGTGAGCGCGCAGGCTGGGCGGGCCCTGCCGCCTCCCGGGGTCGGTCCTGGAATCGCCTGCGTCCGTGCTGGACTCGGCGGGGTCCCCGAGAGCAGTGGCAGGGGCGGTGGACACCGCCGTGCTCCTGGGAATGAGTGCGGGGACACGGCGAATGCGGGGGAGGGGTGGAGGGTCGGTGAGTGGAGACCGGGATTGTGCGGACGGCTGTACACCCACCCGGTTCTCAGTCCTGGAGCCCGTGGGCCCCTCCACTCACCAGCCACGTGCTTGGATTGGGACCGAAGACCGGCCCATGGCGCCTGTCTTCCCCTAAAGGCTGGACATGAATCTCAGGAAGAGGGAGCCTCAGTGGGCTGATGTCCAGTCTCTCTCCTGGGTGCTATCGGAGTTGGGGGCCGAAGGGCGGAGCATCGGTGGGTAGCACTGCCGATAGCTTTCTGGGCTTTAGTGGCCCTGGGAGCGCCCCCGAGCCATCTGTGACAGCCCCCAAACTTGCCCCACAAATTTCCAAACGTTGGCAGCTCTCCTCCCCAAAGCACAGGTATTAGAACTTCCTGCGTTTGAATTTGGCTGGCACTGGGACCCTCAGAGGTTCCTGATCCATAAACTTTAATACTTACCTTGCAGGGTAACTGTGAGGATTAAAAGTGACATGACCTAATGCGGAGCTGATACATTATTCAAGACACTTGTTAAAACAAAGAAAACATTACTCAAGACACTTGTTGAAGACGGTAAGGCCGACTTCATTCAGGGAACTACTAAAATGGGGTTTTGCAGTAACAAGAGATAGAATATGATAAAGGAGATTTATAGTCAAGGAGTAGGGTGGAGGTTAGTGGATGGGAAACCACGGGAGTAAATTTATGGGTGAAGGGGGGATTCTGGCGAAGCCTACTTGACAGGAGATTTGCTGAAGGCAGACGAGGGTGAATAAGGAATTGGATCATTCACTAAGGCTGGTCAGCTACTGAGACGGTGGGGAAATAAAGACATTGCTCAGAGAGCAAAGCTGGAGGACTTTCCCTAAACTGGATCCAGCAAGATTCTTGATAAAGCTGGACTAGAATGCCCAAGGACAGAGCGCATGGCCAGTCTTGTCAAAAAGGATTCAGGAGCTGACCAAAGTTTGGTTAAACAGAGGGTCTGTGTCAATAGTAGGTGCTGAGAAAAGGTTTCTTATATATGTATGTCTAGTAAGTATACTTACCTAGATGTACATTTAAATATTCATTGTAATTTGTTATAGCTTTAATAAATATAAGACCTATACATTTGGGATAACTTTTTTTTTTTTTGGTAACAAGTAGATTCTCATGAAGTCGTTCAGATATAAACCCAGACACTATAAAGTAGTTTAATTTTGAATAATTGAGGCATTTTTTTACCATTATTTGAGAATATAATTACTAAAATCAGACGTCAGTATTTTATAAGCTCTATAGTTTTCCTTAAATGTCATTTTTCCTAAATGTTATCTAAACTGCTATCTTAATTCAGGAACTAAATAAATTTGAATAAGTCTACTAATCAGTCTCTTGTATCTGAAATCTTGCTGCTTGTTATTTAACACTTTAAGAACCAAATAGATTAATGAAGAAAACATGTACATTTATTCAATTTTGTTAACATATTTATTAAAGCTGTATATTTCTTTCTAAACAGTGTTTTTCACTGTTTTCTATAAATTTTGATATATTGTGTTTTCATTATTCAATATGATAATATACAGGATCGGCACAAATAACGCCCCTTTTTATTACAAAATCATAAGCATGTACTTCTGTAACATAGCAATATCACACTCAAGCACACCATAGGACATTTAGATAAAGTGTTCAAATTAAAACTATAAATTATTACACACTTAGTACCCTACCCACCACACTCAAACAGGTGTTACTTCTGCTGGAACCTATATGTAATTTTCTTTGTGATTTTTTTCTTTGACCATAGGTTATTTAAGATTATTTAATAATTTTCATATATTAGGATTGTCTAGATATATTAATTGTTAATGATTTCAAATTTAATTGCACTGTGTTCAGAGAATATATACTTTAAGATTCCAGTCTTTCGACACTTAATTATGCATATTGTCTGTTTCAGTGAGTGTTATGTATTCACTTGAATGTGTATTTGGCAGTTGTTGGGTCTAAATGTCAATAGGATCAAGTTGGTGATTAGCATTGTTCAGATTCCTATATCCTTACCAATTGTTTTTTTGGGGTGCAATCTACTTGTTCTATCAATTACTGACAAAAGGATGTTAAAATCTCCAAGTAGAATTGAGGATTTGTCCCCTTAGACCTGATATTAAGTGCATACACATTTAGGGTTCTTTTGTGTTCTAAATGATTTAACCCATTTATCAAAATGAAACGTCCCTCTTTTTTTCTTTGGCCTGAGGTCTCAAGGTCAAATACTAATATAGCCATACCAGCTTTCATATCCTTGCTATTTGTGTAGGATGTCTTTTCCCCATCATTTTCTTTCCAAGTTGTATCTTTATATGTAAAATATCTCTTGCAGACAGTGTATGGTTGGGCCTTGCTTTTTTAAAAATCTGACCATCTCTACTATATAATTCAAGTATAAAGTACATTTACATTTAATGTAATTATTGGTATGGTTGTATGTTAGTTTACCATGTTGTCTTTTTTCCATTTGACCTTTCTGGTTTTTATTCTTCTCTTCTACCATTCCTATCACATTTTGGGTTATTGAATGATTTTCAGTATTCCTTTTTGGTTTTTAGCTATACCTTATTTTATATTTTTACAGCTAACTGTATCTTAAATTATCAGTTTACTTTAACTTTTCAGTCTTGTTTAATATTGTACCACTTTACACTCCACAGTTCACTTTCTCATTTTTTGCCTCTTAATACTTGTACGCTTCCCATTTTCACCTGACACCACAGTTCAGTTTCCACTTTTTATTTCTCAATTAGCAGGTCATAAATGTAATAAACTAACAACAGATTGATTCCATTTACCTCCTCCTTTGTATTATTTTAGTATCTTCTACTTATGTTCTACTTATATTGTTGTTACTTTGGCATTTAGCAGTCAGCTGCCTTTTAAGGGAGTTAGAAGAAATAAAAGCTTGGTACTTTATTTATCATATATTTACTATTTTTGGAGATTTTCATTCCTTTCTGTAGATTTGAGTTCCCCTTCAACTGAGCAGTGTCCTTAGCATCTCTTGTAGTATAGTTCACTGGGGGAAAATTCTCCTACCATATTTATCTGAAAAACTGTTTTTAACTTTTGTTTTTGAAAAAAAAATTTGGATGTGGAATTCTGGATTGATGGTTCTTTTTCTAGTGCTATCATTTGGTTCTTTTTTTAAAAAATAATTTTTATTTTTCTGTGGAAAGTCTTTATCTCTTCTTTCATTGAGACTGCATTTTTCTTTAGGTACCCTGGCCTTCTTTGAGTGGGTTTCACTTGACTGCTTTTTCCCTTGACTTTTCCTTTTTTTTTTTTTTTTTTTTTTTAATGTCTAGTAATTTTGGATTGCATCCTAGATATTGTGGATTGCACCTTGTTGATGCTAAGGATTCAGTTATCTTCCTCTGAAGAGTGTTGACTTTTGTTGTAGCAAGCAGTTCAGTTACTGACTAATCACCTTTGGCTCGTGTTGTCTTGGTTTTACGCCTTGTTAGGGCAGATCTTTGGAAAGCCCAAGGTATTTCCCAAGTTCTAACTAGATGAGACTAGACCAGTGACTGGGTCACTTCTGAGGATCTTGCTGAGGCTTGGCTTTAGGCTTTTTAGGGCAGGTTTCAAGTAGTTCTTACTCTAGGGTATGGTCTTTACTTTGAACATGTGGCCTTTCTGGTATCTCACAATGCCTTTAGGTTAATGCAGGCCGAGGTTTTTCTACTCTCGGTGGTCAAAAACTTCCATGTCTCTCATCACTGATAGGTCTTTTGGTCTCTCTTTTGCTCTTAGTCTGGTAGCAACTGCTCTGTGTTAATTAAATCTTGCATAGTTTCACCCTGCTAATGAGCAGTATAACCCTTGGTCAGGGGCTCAACAGGGAAACCCTACCTAGACTTCTGCCTCCACCCTCATAGCTCCCACCTTTTGCTGCCCAGCTCTTTAGATTCCATCCACTTCACTGGCTCCAGATTCTGACTTCTGCCTCCGTAGTGTATTTAGTTTTTTTAAATGAGACTGTTGCTCTCTGCTGGAGCTCCAGCTTCCTTTCCATGGGAAATTGTCCCCATGCGGACAGCCAGGGTGTTCCCGGGGTTCACCTCATGAGCTTTTCTTCTTTCAGGAATCTCGTGCCTGCCTGCCTGTTGTCCAGTGCTTGAAAATAGTTGCCCTACAAGTTTTCTCCAGTTTTGGAGTTATTTACAGTGAGTGGGCTAGTCTGTGTATTACCAGTTACTCTGTCGTGACCGGAATTGAATTCCTGAAACACGTATTTATTGAGCACATAGTATCCAACATATGTCACTGTGGTGTACTGGTTGCTGCACAAATATATGCCCTTGAGACATTTTTTTCTGATTTGTTTATTTTGGTTTTTAAATGATTTTCTGATATAGGATGCATTATTTGGTAAAGTGGTAGGGATGAGGACATTGGGTGTTGTTTCTTAAAAAATTTCTTTAAATGTATTTTTTTAGAGGGAAAGGGACAAAGAAAGAGGGAGAGAAACATTATCAGTTGCCTCTCGCATGTCCCCGACTGGGGACCTGGCACAGCCCAGGCATGTGCCCTGACTGGGGATTGAACCGGCAACCTTTCAGTTCGTAGGCCGGCACTTGACTCACTCAGCCACAGCAGCCAGGGCAAGGACATTGGTTATTATAACTCAAGGAAAGAGCAGCTATCAAAAGCTAGAGTGTTATACTGATCTCTAATGAAGCCAGATACCCAAGAGACTGGGTATCTTTTGGTGGTTGTGGTTGGTGTTACAGAGAATGATGACCTCAAGGCTCTTGATTACATTTAAGGATTGACCCAACAATCAATCCCATATTAGGATTACGTGCAAGAAAGCTAACTAGATATAGCATTAACTTTGCCACTTAATATTTCTCTCTTTACTGTCTTAATTACTAACTACTAAATTTTTATACTATTCACCATAATATTACTTGGTTCAAGTCTGTAGGAATGTTTTCAAGAGTTAGTATTTATTCTAAATCTTCATTAAGCCCAGGGTTGAAATTTTCTGGTACAATAGGTTTTTTTAAATAAATTCCCAATTTTCAACATGGCACTCAAAAGAAGTCACTTAGAAATTTCATTGAACCTTTTGGGGAAGGGTTCATTTGTTCTTTTCAACTTCATATTTATTATGGAAGCATCTGATCATTTCAGCATTTGCCTTTTATTTCTAGGGCATTGTTGTCTTTGTTCAGCTTTATTTTTTAGTCTGCGGACATATGGATGCAGATAGAGAAGTATTTTGCAGAAGAGCTGTTTACCTGGAAACTGTAGTGAAAATGCTTTGTGTGGTGCATTTCATTTTTCTGCTTGGGCTGGACATTTGAAGATCAAGAGGGAATGTTATAAAATGATCAGGGTGATGGTGACAGTTCAGATATGAATGAGTGTGTGCTTTGTGGCTTCAGTCTTGCAAAATACAGTAGTGTATCCATTGACTTGAAAAGATCTATGGTTGACTCCTAGGCTTCTCAGGCAGGGCATGTGAATTTGTTTTTTCTGAAAATGTGTCCCTTTCTTCTGTATAGCGCACGATCTCACTCCCTCTCTGTGCCGCTGCGAGAGGCTCTGTGCAGGCCTGGTTCTCCCCAGAGACAGCTTCACCAAAGAGCTCCCCCTGAAAGGACCTGCCCGGCCAGATGATGCCTGCTGAGCTGGGGCAGGCCCTGGTCCTGCTGCCGCCACTGCCGAAGGCCGAGGACTCCCCATTTTCTGGACCGGATGCTGCCCCGCGAGGGGAGCCCTCCAGCCCCGAGACGGCCCGCCAGCTCTTCAGGCAGTTTCGTTACCAGGTGATGTCTGGGCCCCAGGAAACCCTGAGACAGCTTCGGAAGCTCTGTTTCCAGTGGCTGCAGCCAGAGGTGCACACCAAGGAGCAGATCCTAGAGATCCTCATGTTGGAGCAGTTCCTGACCATCCTACCCGGCGAGATTCAGATGTGGGTGCGGAAGCAGCACCCAGGCAGCGGGGAGGAGGCAGTGACCCTCGTGGAGAGCTTGAAGGGAGACCCCCAGAGGCTGTGGCAGTGGGTAAGCAGAGGGCATTGTGATCTGCTGGTGAAGCGCAGGGCTGCTCTGTGGTCTCGTCGGACGTACTGTCTTTTTTTTCTGACACCAAATATGTGGAGTCTTCGACACTAACAACCAGTTCTCCAGTTCTCTGTTACCAGCTGGGTGCCCTACAATTCAATTCAATTCTGACGCTGAACCTCTAGGGCTGACTTAGCTCCCACAGGATAAGGGTCAGTCGCAAAGACCGCCCCCATTTCCGATACCAGTCACAGGTCTCAAGGGCCACCCTACTTTTGACCAACTGGCTATAAATTTGGAGGTACCCAAACCCTGTCCTCAGATAATTCGCTAGAATGACTCACAGAACTCGGAAAAACTGCTTACATTTTCCAGCTGGTGACGAAATCTGCGACTCAGAAATAGGCAAGTGGAGGAGACGGGGCTCACCCAGAGCTCCTTGCCTCTCAGGGCCTCCCGCTTCTGTGTGCCCACCCACTCAGCAGCTCCCTGAACCCCAGAGCTCAGGGGTTTTCGTGGAGGTTTCATTACTTGGGCAGGATTGATTTATTGTTGGCTGCTGGTGTTGGAACATTTCCGGCCCAGTCCCTTCCCCAGGGCTTGAGGGGTGGGGCTGAAAGGCCCAGCCCTCTAACCCCGCCTTGGTTCCCCTGGTGACTGGCCCCCATCCCGAAGCCACCTCAGGGCCCGCCAGGAATCACCTCCTTAGCATAAACTCAGGTATAGTTGAAAGGGGCTCATTGTAATGAAAGTCACTCCTGTCCTTCAGGGGACTCTGAGGGTTGCAAACGCTCTATGCCAGGAGCCGGGGACAAAGACCAGATGTACACTGTTACACCACACCAGTGTGTCCCCATACCTCACCTGATTCTAAGATTCCCTGGGACTCGCAACACTTTCTAGCCATTAGCGGCTGAGCATAAAGTCTCCCATCCCATTCCATCTTCAGACTAGAATCTTTGGGAAGTTGTTCAAAAGATGCCTGAGTTTTAACTGGCACAGACACCCAGTTGAAACCAGTAGTAATGGCGTGTCTCCAAGGTCTCCCAGGCCTGGGTCAGGCCCAGCCTGCGGCCTCTCTCACAGACTCCTGCTGTACTAGAAATAAAAGCCGCTTTCCCTCGCCTCACTCCACATTCCTAAGGACTGTCTTCTGATCTGTGACAGAAGCTTCCAGAAACCCTCCTTCTGGGCCGATCAGTAATTAGTGCTATGTGTGTTCTCTAGATCAGCATCCATGTCCTAGGACAGGACATCCTGTCTGCGAAGGTGGACTCCGTGAGCTGCCAAATTGGGGAAGTGGAGCCTCATCTGGAAGCGACGCCGCAGGAGCTGCGACCCCAGAGTTCACCCTCCCGGCCGGGGGCGCCGCTGAGCCCCGTCGTGAAAGAGGAGTCCGACGCGGGGCAGGACTTAGGTGGGGCGGTGGGCATGGGGGTGTGGCGCTCCCGTGGGGACTGGTCGGCGGGCCTGCGGGCGAGTGGAAAACGATACCGCTGCCCAGGCCGGGGCATCTGTAGGAGGATCAGCGGCCAGGTGCCCCGCTGGATCGCTCCGATGGGGGCCTCCGGAGCCTGTGACTGAAGCCATGTGCTGGCGGGCCCAGGCCTCTTGGATTTGGGTTTTGAGGAAGGAGGTGGGGGAAAACGTGGGTGAGACTGTTGGGAAGGTGTGAGGGAGTTGCAGTTTATTCGTGTGGTAGATACAATTCTTGAGATCACAGATGGTGAAACAGGTACCAGTTCTACTTTGTGAAGATTTGTATTGGTGCCTCTGGAGACTGGCTGCGGGGGAATCTAGCTCTTTCTCGCTTCAGCAGCGGCTGCTCCCCTGATCCCTGCCCAGCCCGAGGAAAGGCTCCTCAGAGACCAGCCCTTCGGAGCCTCCCTTCTCCAAACGGCGCCCCAGGTGAGCCAGGCTTGAGGGTGTGTCTGGGTGAGGAGGGTCGAAGGTGGGGGGATTCTCAGAAGTGCTGCCGAAAGGAAGGCCTGATAAGGATAGCAGGAGCAGCACCTGCGGAAAGATCCCTGCCAGAACGCTTCCAGTTGTCATCCTGAGTAATGGAATCCGAGCCCCAGGAGAGGTTGCTGTGCGGAGGCAATCTTTTCTGTCCTTTTTCATTATCTTTGGGTTATGCTAAGGAAAGACTCTTTCACTTCCTAGTCTAAACCTCTCACGTAGGAGTCGGTTTGAGGCTTTGATGGCTATATCTAGTGTGGGACAGGTTTCTCTTCCCTTCCGCAACTCTATGGAGGCATAGTCGACAAACAACAAACTGCACATCTTGAATGTGTACTGTCTGGTAAGTTTTTTGGCACATGTTTGCACAAACATGAAAGCATGACCACAAACAAGCTAATAGACATCTCGGTCCCCACCAGAGGTCTCCTTGCCCTCCCCTCGACTCTCTCCCCTCCCCCAGTTCAGAGGCAACGACTGATCTGTTTTCTGCTACCCTACATTTGTTTGCATTTTCTAGAATTTTGTATAAAATAGAATCAGGCCATATGTATTCTTATCTTTGTTCTGCATACACTGTATCTTTCTTCCTTGCTTCTTTTAGTATTTTCTCACTGGGTTTAAACCATTTGACTATGATATACTTTGGAATTATTTTCTTCATGTTTCTTGTGTTTGGGTTCATTAAACTTCTTGGGTCTGTGGGTTTACAGTTTTCATCAAATCAGGAAAACTTTTGGTCATTATTTCTTTGAATGTTTTTCTCTGTTTTTCTTCCTTCTTTCCTTCTGTGAGGACTCAGAGTTACGCACATGCGGGATGTGTATAATGGTAATGTGTGTACATACATTAGATAGTTTCGGTTGTCCGTCAGCTTACTGGTGCTCTTTTCTCTCTCTCTTTTTCTAATTTCCGTGTTTTGTTTCGGATGGTCTCTATTTTGTCTTTAAATTCCTCATTCTTTGTGTCTAATCTGTTAATCACATCCAGTGTATTTTTCATCTCAGATGTATTTTTAATCTCTAGAAATTTGAATTAGGGCTTTATTATATCGTTTATTTAATGTGTTCAGACTTGCCTTCACCTTCTTGAACATATGAAATATGGTTATAACATCTGTATTAATGTCCTTGTCTACTAATTTATCACCTGTGTTATTTTGGATGGATGGATTGATCTCATTATGAGTTGTATTTTCCTGCTTCTTTTTAGGCCCAGTAATCTTTGATCGCATGTCAAACGTTGTGACTTTTACCTTGCTAGGGCAGGATAGTTCTGTATTCCTGCAAATGTTTTTGAGCTCTGCTCTGGGATACAGTTAAGTTACTTGGACAGTTTGTTAAATGGCATTGGAGAAGCTTTTAGTGTAGGGCTAACTTTCCCCTACTACGGAGGCAATGCCCCTCGGAGAACTCTACCTGATGCTCCTTGATAGACAAAGGTTTGCCCTGTGGGTGCCAGAAAGGGGGGGTGTTCCCTGGCCTTCTGCCCTGTTAACTCTGTAACCCCCTGGAGCTCCTTCTGCCCAACTCGGGGCCACCTGGCTCCACGAGGGATCCCCGGTCTGGACTGCCCTCGGTGTTCTCTATGGGCCGTAAGCGTGGGCAACTGTCGGGCTCACCTGTTTTGTTTCCCCACATGCAGGGGCCTCTGTTCTGCTCTGCCTAACATGCAATATCTGAAAGCCATTGTTTCGGATAGTTTGTCCCTTTTCTCGGTGGCTTCAGACCCAAAGGTAAATCCAGTCTCTGTTACTCCATCCTGGCCATAAACAGAAGTCTCTGGGACAGGTTCATCTTTATCTGGTTAAAAATTCTGAAAAGTTGCATTTGATAAAAATAAAAGTTTCCAGGAACCTATGCATCTTAATGAAAACATTGTTTTGAACCTTTGGGGAACTCTCCTTGGGATTCACCTGGCGAGGTAGGTAATACGAGTGCAGGGGAGGTAGGGAAGCCAGTAAGAGGCGCTGAAGATGGGGCTGAGGATCAGGCCTGAGCTTCAGCTTCCCCGGCTCCAAGATTCAGAAGGCAGAATGCCAACTTTGTAACCCCCTCGGTAAAGGGATGGGGAAGGGATATGCGTTTTAGTGACTCAGGGTGCCTTCTTGCTTTCAGGGTACCAAGAAACCAAATTGTTAGGCAGGAGATTGCTTGATGAAAAAGACTGGGTGTTCTCTCAAATTTCGAGCAGACTCGAGGATTATTTTTTATTCCGTAGTTAGTACAGTGTATCCCTATGAAAAGTATATCAACATTTTAACCAGTAGAATTAAGCGTTAACTCTACATAACATAATGACATTAACTATGACCTGTTCTGGATGGCTTAAAGTCAAAAGATTTAAAATGCTCACCAGCAGCACCATAGGTGTGTGTTTGTGTATGTTAAATTTTCCACATTTAGCAGACAACTGATCAAGAGCCACTTAACCTAAACAAATAAGAATCATTCCTACACAATCCTAATATCCCTCCCCCAAGCTAACAACAACTATTTGCATCAAAAGGACCTTGATATTTAATGGAATCCTTTATAAGTGAAGGGATTTTTAATATATAAATAATTGCTTTCCATAATCTCATTCATAAATTAGGAACTTGATATATAATGCCAGAATTATGGAGTAGTGTCCCTCCACAATGGCACTTCGTTATTAGAAACCCTGAGAGAGTTAGAACCTCACATACGCTTGGGGATACACTGGCTCATCTTCCTAAGTTTTCCCATTTCCATTTCAGGAAAGGGACGCAGTGCAGAGAACTCTCTGCAAATCAGTTGTGGTAATGTCTTATCAATCCACAAGATGGTGCTGTTTCCACACAAAATTGAGATGATTTCTCTAATCTACTGCCCTTCCAGAACAGGAATTTAGATTTTCCCTTGTTTTTTAAAAATGAGAAAAAGCAAGGTGGCTGCAGTTGGTATCTCTTAAATAAGGGGCTTTATTCAAGCATCCCTAGGTGGTTAGCACTTCCTTAGTAAGTTTGTGGCTTTAAGTGGAGGTACACTGTTTAGAGACTCCAGAAGCACCTTCTGGTTTTTGATTTGGGGGACTTTGGTGGCCCTTGGGGATTTTGGTGGCTGTATTCCCTTTTATCTTGTACTGTATTTGGTAGCTTCTGTTTTGCTGCCCATGGAATAGGCTTCACATCAAGCAAGCCAGGCAGCCAGTTAGATATCTTGGTGCTTACAATCCCCACCGTCGCTTTGCCGGTGCTGAGGCGAGGGCTGTGTTCCAGCTGCGAAGGCTGAGAACTCCTCATTCAGCAGTGTCCGCACAAGTTGGGTGCTTTTAGGAGGTTGTTAAGGTAGCTTCATTCACAGGAAACTAACAAAATAAGCTGCTAATGATTTCTAAAAATAAAAACTGTAAAACATTAAAAATGTGACTATAGTTAATAGTTAAATGCATAGTTAAATATATTAAGGTCACTTTACCTTTTTACTTTTTTCACCCTGAAGATTTCACTTCCTTCCCCCCTTCCTCCTTCCTTCCGCCTCCCTCCCTCTCTTCCTCCTCCTTCCCCTCCTCCCCACTTTCTTTTGACTTAGTATCTGCCAGTTAAAAGATCTGTTGGTGTCTCCATTACCTTTCAACCATTCCCACTTCCCTTTGATGTGGTAGGACTGCGAAAGGCTTCTCTGAGTAGCATATTATTTGTATTAATAATGGGAAGATGACTTTGTCTCCTCATTCCTGTTCTCTTTTCTGCTCCCTGTAGCCTAGCTGACTATCCATGACAGTAATCCACAGAACCGACTTTGCAGTCCCTGAAAATGTGCAAAATCCCTTAATTCTGCAAACCCTGTGGTTAGTCTGGAAACTTGAGTATCCCACAGAGTACGTATGATGGTAATAATATACGTCACTTACTGAGGACTTACTTGCACAGAGCTGGACAGGGTCTTGGGGACTGGAAGAGTACAGTGGAGAGTCTTCTTCTCATGGTGCCGTGTACTAGTGGAGCCAAATATTGATCGTATATTTTTATATTTGTGGGTATAAAAAAGATTGGGTATTCTGTCATACACATAATGTATATATACATAAACATTTAATAAGCTGATGAGTGCTATGAATGAAGAGGACAGCGTACTCTGAAAACAGATGACGCTTGCCTTTCTCTTACCTCCCAACAATTTTTGAGTTCAGTGCTGTCATTATTTTTTTAAGGTTTAATTTATTTACTTGTAGAGATGGAAAGGGAGGGAGAAGGAGAGGGAAGGAAACACCCGTGTGTGAGAGCTACATGGATTGGTTGCCTTTCACACGCCCCCAACCGGGGACCTGGCCCACAACCCAGGCATGTGCCCTGACTGGGAATCGAACCAGTGACTTTTCGGTTCGCAGGCTGGCACTCAACCCACTGAGCCACACCAGCGAGGGTGGGTTCAGGACTATCATTAGATGAGGACTGAGGACTCAGAATGGTTAGTAACTTGCTCAAAGTCACAGAGCCATCAAGTGGCAGAACTGGGACTTGGAACCCAGTATATTTGACTCCAAAGACTGTGCTGTTACTCCCTCTGCTATACAGTCTGAGTGTTGGACGGTTGTGTCCTTGGTGGGGAGGTTGACATTTGAATTCAGGAAAGTAGGCCCTGTTAGATGGCATTCCCAGTTTTGAGTCTCCAGTCTCCAGCTCCATAGGATAAGCAGGGCACGTTGTAGGGATAATTGAGAGGCACCTGTCTCTAGACAACTCATTAATTCCCCACTCACTGGAAGGAAAACTGCTTTCATGTTAGAGCCTAAACTCAGAAGTGTCGGGTGAGGCCATAGGGCGTGTGGCTGTTGCCCCCTCTCTGCTCTGAATCCACCCACCTGTTTCACAGTGAGACTTAGAACCCATTTGACTTCATTGTAGATTCCTCCCGCTTTCTCTCGCTGATTGACGGTTGCTTTTTCAACAAATACCTTTGTATGTTTTTCTTTTCCGTCTTGAATTTCCAGATTGTGATGAAGTATTGGGACTGTCATGCTCCTACTGTTCAAAGACCTCTACTTAGGCACTGAAAGAGTGAAAGAAAAGACAGCGTAGAGAGGTCTCCTGCCTTCTCTCTGTTCTCCCCTCTTAAATACATGCAACTGAAAAATAATGCAGAACTTAAAACCTAAGTGTTTTCAACCCAAGGCAAGAGATGCTGATGCAGGGACTGTGGTTTCCCCTCGGGTCTTTTCCCTTGAACCACCTCCCTTGAGTTCTTACACATGCTGATGGCCAGACCTCTCAGGCACGTCCCTTTCCTCTCAGCCTCCCGTAGGCAGGGAGAGCAGGGCTCAGAGACCCTCGCTGACCGCACAGCATGGTGTGTTTTCTAGGAGCAGTGGCGGCACCTGGATTCCACTCAGAAGGAGCAATACTGGGATCTGCTGCTGGAGACCTACGGGAAGATGGTCTCGGGAGGTGAGGGCGCGGGCCCGCCTGGCGGAGGGAGGTGGGAGGATGCGAAGCATTTTCTGTGCGTTCTTAGAGATGGTTGCTCTACCTGAGGTTCCCTGGGGGAAGGCATCGTCAGCGACACCGTCGGGGGTGGGCCGAGTTGGAGATAGCAGTGTTACAGTCAGGACTTCCTGGTATTAGCAGTCTGTGTACCAGGGACTGTCACGGGTGCACTCCATGCAGTGACTCCTTTCATCCGTGAAATGGGTGATGGTATCCCCATTTTTAAGATAATGAAAGTGGGTGTTAGACCAAGTCTCTTGCTCACAGTTACGAAGCTCAGTTATGGCAGAACTCAGGTGTGGCTGGCCCTGAGTCCCTGCTGGTAAATAATAAACCACAGTCTCAGCACACCATTGGAGGGGCCTCAGTCATGACCCTCGCCCCAGCTTGCCCGGCAGCCTGCCTCTGCCCGCCCAGACTCTTCCTTGTTGTGGTCTTCACCACATATCAGGTTATCTTTGGAGCGCTGATGTCTTAGAAGCTCCACGCATCCTTCCAAGATGCATTACCTTAAGAAGGGGTCCCCAGAGCCTTCCTGTTTCCTGGCACACTGAGGGCACCCCTTTGAAAAACAGCCAGGACCCCAGCCCTCCCAGTCCACGGAGGCCACATGTTACCTCTCCGCACCAGGCATGTCCAGCTCCAAGGCTGACCTGGCTAACTCAGCAGGGTACGGGGCGGGGGGCTGGCAGGCCTGCACCTGCATGGCAGCGAGAAGCTCCTGAGACCCAGCTGCATAGGTGAGCGACCTTTCATTGGTCGGGGCCATTTCTGGTCTCCTGTCATCGCATTGCAGGTGGTAGGGGAGATGGCAGGACCTGGGACTTGGATCTCTTCTGTTGGCTGTGACCGGCTATATCTGGCTAGGCTAGTCAGTCAGGTCTCCTTAATCTCTGGCTATAGGCTGTTAACACTAGTTAACCATGGAAGAAAGGCTGCACCTCAGATCTGCTGCCTTCGGTCTTACCTGTTGTGCCAACAGCCTGTCTCAGAGAGAGTTAGGATGAGTACAGGTTAGACCAGTACAGACGGGTCGAATTCCATGACAAAAAAAGACTATGTAACAGCCATTATTATCCTTCTTCTAGTTTGAGGGTTCAGAATAATTAGACTTTACTTATTTTGGTTATAGTGAATAGTAACCAACTCACCTCAACAAAATAAAACAAACAGAAAACAAAACATGTTTTAGCTAATCTTAATGCCTCTAATTTTCATTAAATAGCAGAAACAACAAATATGGTATTTTGCTGTGTACAATGTGCACTGAATGTTTTTGTGTGCATTACAGGATTATTATGCCCATGGTGTGTAAACATTATACCCATGTATAATGCCCATCCTTATTTTTTCCTCAAAAATTTGGGCATAAAAGTGTGCTTTATACACAGCAAAGTACGGTACTTCATATAAATCACGTATTTAGGACTGGGGAAGGAGAGATATGAACCTGTTCTGTTGTAACATAGCAGTCACTCTTTGCCTACTACATTCTTCTAAAATACTGTGGTCACATGAAACCTTTATGTCAAACCTCACTGAACACACGCACGTTTACATTTATAAAAGATCCCAGGATCTTGGAGGAAGAAAAGGACGAAGGATGTGAACCGTATGACAAATCATTCTTTCTCCCCAGTGGGGTCTAATTATTTTTCTTTGTCAATATACTATAGAGAACAAACATCAAATGAGACATATGATGTTAATTTTAAGCAATATATTTATCATAACACTATTACATAAGGATTTCTTTGGAGGAGTACTTTTCAAACTACATTTTATTACGAATTAGTGTATTGTGAAATCATTTTATCATTTTAGAGGTTATAACCATCATTTAAAAAAATGAAATAAGATTAAATAGAAAATATCAGAATGCAAATAGAAAACATTAGATGTCAGGGTGGGTAGCGTTTCAGCAAATTTTTGTTCCAAGTATGTGTGTATATACTGTATTTCAATATAAACATTTCTTACTTGGGTAGCAGGCAAAAAGGTTTGAAAATACTGCTTTGGAGGTTGTTGTAGTAGGAATTTCGCTTTAATAGACTTTCTTTTTTAGAGCAGTTTTATTTTCACAGCAAAATTGAGGGAAAGGTACAAAGATTTCCTATGCACTCCCTTGCAGTAGGATTTTATTTGTGACATATAGCTCACTATATCCCCAACCCCATTTTCTTTTTCTCCCTTCATCCCATCGGCTGACATGGCCCATTGCATCTTCCCTTGAACCAGACTGTAGAGGATCTGCCACACCAGCCGGCCTTGATAAGGGAAGCACGTGCCGTTGTAGGTCTTGAGAGAGGATGTGCTGAGGAAGGAGCAATGTGCAGGAAAGCCCGGAGGGAAGGCCTGGAGAAGGGGAGCCCTGTGTGAAGTTGATGTGGGGGTCCAGAGGTGCAGGGAGGACACCCAGGACTCATGGGAAGCAACGATGAAAAGAGGCAGAAGGACTGGTCCAGTCTGAAAGACACAGCGGTTAGCTGGTCGGCCAGGTCTGGACTCAGACCGGGGTGCAAAAGTCAGAGGACAGGAGCAGGTATACGCTGTTTCATTTGACCACAGGGAGGCACGGCTCCTTCTGAAAACAGGCCAGCAGAGGCGTTATCCTCAAAAAGCCACACACCCATACCTCTAATCAAAATCCCAAGGAATTAAAAAAGTATTTGGGATAATGATTCTTAAGTAGTTATCTGGAATAATACTGCAAGATAATAAAAAGTGTTGAAAGAAGAATGTTTCATCAATATTACATGGTAAACGTTAAGAGTCTGTCATTTAAAATAGGTAAAATCATTAAAATAATGGGATGCTGCTGTAAAAACAGAGGCACAGGCTAATGGGACAGAAGAGGTGGCCTAGGTGGAAAAGCTGGCGTACACAAGAATCTCACACAGGAGGGAGGAAGAAGCCACGAAAACCCGCGGGCGAGCTGTTCTTCAGCGGGCAGTGTCAGGAGCAAAGGCGCTCGGGGGGAAGGAATTGGTGTAGATTTGATGTGTGTCAAATACCAAAATAAGTTGGAAATAGATGAAAAAGACATGAAATATGAAAATAATGACTAAGAAAATGAATATTTGACTCCTGTCTGGATGGGAAGGCTTTTTACAAGCAATGGGAAAATCATTAAGGAAAAGACTAATAGACTTCAGTATACTTAAAAGGAAAAAAACCCCCACAACTTCTATACATAAAAATAACCCCAAACAAAATTAAGGTAACCAAATTGGTGAAAAACATTTTTCATGAACCTGACAGATAGGTGATTGTTTTTTCTTAGTGTAGAGTTAATGCAAGTTGATAAGAAAAAATGACTTTCCCAATTAAAAATGGACATGTGAAAAATAGCTCATAAATGTAAAAAAATCCATCCTTTTAAAATTAAAACTCATAACAATGAAAAATATGATCTATATGGGAAATATTTTTTAAATAGTCAACACTTAAGCTTTGAACACTATTTTTGCTGTGCCCAGCTTCTCAGAGCAGAGGGTGGCGTAGTCATTCTGGAAGTCAGTTTGAGTGTCAGGAATCTTCATGACATTTATGGTTGTTGACGTAGTAATTCCACTTCAAGGAACCTTTCAGGATGGATCAGAAATGTGGGTGAAAATTTATGAAGAAAAATGCTTATCACAGTATTATTTATAGTAGCAAAAACACAACAGATTTCCATAGTAGAATTCTTAAGTCGATATTTTTATTATGTGTTTATTATGACATCTCCATGATGAATTCAACTCTTTAAAATGATATTTATAAAGGCTCCTTTAAAGACAAGAGAAAGTACTTTTGTCATTTGAGAAGAATACGTCCTAAGACTTTGTGAGTTACTAAGTTCAGGCCTACTTCTTGAGCATATTCCTGGGACTCTAGCAGATAACTTGAAAGACACTAATATAGGAAAGAGAAAGGTAAATAGCTTCATTAGATCTACAGGGATAGAGTAATTTATAAAAGCTGAAAATAAATTCTATCGCCAAAATAAAATCTTTACTATATGCATCATTAATTTGTAATGATCCAAAACCTGTTATGATGAGAAAAATAAAATTGTAAATGGTAGGTGAGTTAATGAAGCACAAGTGAATGCTGGATTCAAGCATAGATTTACTTTTATGCTGTAGCCTCACTGTATATTAAAACCATAGTAAAATGACACATAGATGCAGTGCAGGAATTCCTGGTTACTTGTGAAGGGGGGATTCCATTTGACATGGACAAAGACCACCTTTACAATTTAAGTGCTACAAAGCCAGATAAAACAGTTACGTCAGGTAAAAGCACATACATACATACATACATACATACATACGTATTGGTTAAATAAAGACTGGAAGGAAATGTATACTCATAGTTGTTCATTCTGGGTACATGATTGGGGTAGATTTGGTTATCTTCTGTATACTTTTCAAATAGTATTTAGTGATCAAAGTTTTATATATAATCAGGTAAAAGCCCATCATTTTTAAAAGTAGGGCTCTGATATAAAACACTTGTTTTTCCTGGGTCTTAATAATTGCATGTAAAAATAGAGTTACCATGTGACCCAGCAATTCCATTTCTAGGTATTTATTTGAAGAAAATGAAACACTAATTTGAAAAGATATATCACCCTCATGTTCATTTCAGCATTGTTTGCAACAGCCAAGATGTGGAAGCAGCCTTGGTTTCCATCAACAGGTGTAAGGATAAAGAAGAGGTGAACACACACACACACGCATACAATGGAGTATGACTCAGACATAAAAAGGAATGAAATCTTGCCTTTTGCAGCAACATGGATGGATATAGGGAGTATTATGCTGACTGATATAAGTCAGAGAAAGATAAACACCCTATGATTTTACTTATATGCAGAATCTTAAAAAAAACAAAACCCAAACAAATGAACAAACCAAGTGAAACAGAAACAAACATGAATGCAGAGAACAAGCCAGTGGTTGCCAGAGGTGGGAGATTTGGGAGAAGGCTGAGAAAGGGGAAGGGGATTAAGAAGTGCAAGCTTGCAGGTGAGTCACAGGGGTGTGGTGTGCGGTGCAGGCACTAACATCGCAGCCACTGTGGACTAAACTTGCTGTGGTGGCTGCTTTGTAGGGCCTACAAATGTTGAATCAGTATGTTGCGCACCTAAAACTAATATAATATTGTATGTCAAGTGTGAATTGTAAAAAACGCATGCTGCACTCGTGGGGGAGGGGCGGTCAGCAGTGCCCTCTGTGAGCCCCTCCGCCCCAGACGTCCTCCCCGGCCCCCTTGGCTGGAGCTGAGTCCCTCAGCATGGCCCCCAGCACAAGTGGCGCGAGGGCCGGGCGCGCACCGTGGATGATGTTTTCCTCCCCCGGTCCCTCACTGATGCGCTTGCAGTAAAAGAATTAATGCCTTATGATGACTCTGTCTTCTCACATGGGAGTTAGAAAATAGGGCACACCACTCATTGAACTGTTTTAAATCTTTCTCCTTTCAGGAGATAGACAGGAGAATGACAAAGAGAACCTGAACTTGGAAAATCATAGGGACCAGGAACCTCCAGATGCCTCCTGTCGTGCCTTGGAAGAGCCACCTTCGCAGGCTCCCTTGAGTGGCCGCTTCCCTGAGAATGAGCTGAGATGCTTTGGAGGAGAGGATGTCCCTGAGGCTCAGGAAATCCTTCAGGGTGAGGGGGTGGGGGGACAGCTCTCTCCTCAAGAAAGGACTTCTGGGAAACAGCTGGGTTGCCATCTGCCCAGCCCTCCTCCGGGACAGCTGTCCATGCTGGGGCCCGAGCCGAAGAGAGCGGCCTCCCCCAAAGGGCAGCCGAGGGCCCCCATGGCCCAGAAGCTCCCCACCTGCAGGGAGTGTGGGAAGACCTTCTATCGGAATTCCCAGCTGGTTTTCCACCAAAGAACTCACACTGGAGAGACGTACTTTCAGTGCCCCACCTGCCAAAAGGCCTTCCTGCGGAGTTCGGACTTCGTGAAACATCAGCGAATTCACACAGGAGAGAAGCCCTGTAAGTGTGATTACTGTGGGAAGGGCTTCAGCGACTTCTCGGGACTGCGCCACCATGAGAAAATACACACAGGAGAGAAGCCCTACAAATGCCCCACCTGTGGAAAGAGTTTTATTCAAAGATCAAACTTTAATAGGCATCAGAGGGTTCACACAGGAGAGAAACCTTATAAATGTTCCTGCTGCGGGAAGAGCTTCAGCTGGAGTTCGAGCCTCGATAAACATCAAAGATCACACTTAGGGAAGAAGCCCTTCCAGTAGCCATGCCCTCTCTGCCATCCTGTTCTCTTCAAAACACTCAGCTCTCCTAGAGCAGGGTCCCCAGCCCCCGCGCCACGGACTCCGGTCGAGGCCTGTCAGGAGCCGGGCGCCAGCAAACGCCTGAGCTCTGCCTCCTGCCTCTGTGCGCCCAGCGGCAGGAGGCGAGCAGTGCAGGAGAGAGCCACGCTGGCTCCCCTGACCCCCTTCTCCCACAAAACTGGTCCCCGGGGCCAAAAAGGCTGGGGCCCTCTTTTGCATGGATTAGAGAAGAGAGAACCTGAACGTGGCTTTGGACTCAGGATAGATATATTGACCTGTCAATTGGATTTCACACTGGTTTAATTTCCTGTAAGAGAAAGAATAGTCTTTGTCTTTCACCTTATCTCTCTTTTGGGGAAAGATGGGAGAAGACTGCCGCTTGGAGATCCCCTTTCAGAAGTGCTGTCTGGGAAGAGTGGGCCTGGACTGGCTGCAGTCGCAGTTCGTCGGAAGACCCTCGGATCCGCCCTTTCACGCTGGGGTTCCAGAGCAAGCCTTCTGTCATGGAAGGGGAAACGGAGGGCCCGCAAGCCCATGCGTGTTCTTTGTCATGTCGCTGCGAAATTAATGTCCCCTGTTTTAAATAAACTTAGTAGAGTCACTCCTGTCTTATTTGTGTCTGAAGTGTCGGCTGAGTGTTGACTGGAACTCGAAGTGCATTTTCTCACAGAAGACCCTAAATGGCAGTTGAGCTCCTAGATCATCCCACACAAACCTGTCAAGTTTATCAGCCAGCCTGGTGCTCAGGTGTGTTTGGCCAGTGCCGGGCATTCTTGGTCTCAGGTAAGTCTGCCCCTGGTGTCCTCTCCGAGCCCACCCGCCCCTCGCTAGCACACCTCACACTGCCCTTCCTTATCCTGGTGTCCCACTTAGGCTCTCATTTTTGCCAAAATGTTCTAATCTTTTAAAATTATATTGTTTCATTTTGTAGGTGTTAGGAAGAAATCAATAGTATTGAGCTAACTTATAGTACTATCTAGAGGTTTATTAACACATATGTCTAACCTGCCCACTCGTCCTTGTCTTCAAAGGTTACATGCCCCGAAGTGTCCTGCTCTCCCGTGTTGAGACTCCACCTTCCGTCTGTTTTGGCCCTCCCCTCGCCTGCTCTTTACTGTTCTTGGTGAGGGGCAGGAGGGTGAGGCTCATGAGGACTGAGCTGAAAACATTATCCTGTAGGCGAGGAACTGCTAGGTGTTCCTGGATTCAAGAGCCATTTGTTAACTCCCTTGGAGCCCGAAGATGGGGACTAAGGCATCTCTTCAGGGAATGCAGCAACCACGGGCCAGAACTGTCATGGGGAAGTTGGCATTTGATTGTGCATTCTGCATAGCAGAGATTTGTCGGACAGTAGAGTTTTATGTTTCAAATCAGGAGTTCTCAGTGTGGCTCTGGGACCAGCAGCCACAGCAATTTGTTAGACTCATCCAGCTGTACATTGTAAAGGGAGGGGCCAGCAACCTGTGGTTTAACAAGCCAGCCGGGGGCCTCCATGCCTGCTGGTCCGGAAAGAGTCTCTGCAAGAACATGGGGGAACAGCGGAAGGGATACTGGGCCCTCCCAGATGCTCCTTGCCGAACAAGCCTGTCTGTAGAGCTCTTTACAACTCACTAAAACCATGGAACTCTTTGAGCCTCCAGTGAAAATTCATTTCACTGAGTAAAGTCTGGACAACTTCTAGGTTAAACATCTTTAGGTCAAAGGTTTCTCCTTGGGTCCCTCCTAATGAGCTAATGGATGATAGAGATATAGGAAACAATAACACCTGTTATTCAGTTGTGTTCTCAGCAAGTAGTAGATTGTTAGAGAAATATTTATTGAATGGGTGTGTAAATTAATGAAGAATGTATATGTATATATGTATATGTATATTTTCATGTACATATACCTCCCTTATCCTCTAGAGTAGTGATCAGCAAGCTAAGGCCCACTGCCTGTTTTTGTAAATAAAATGTTGTTCGACTGCAGCCACACTCGTTCATTTGTGCATTGTCTATGCCTGCTTTGGGGCTACAGTGACAGAACTGAGTAGTTGCAGCCAAACAATATGTCCTGCAAAGCCTAAAATATTGAGAGTTCCTTTACAGACAAAGCTTGGTGACTCCTGGTCCAGAGTAAGGCCTCTTAAACCATAATGTGCACACAGGTCACCTGGCGGGCTTGTTACAACACAAACTGGGCCACACCAGTGCTGCCCACCTATGGAGCAGCTGGGAGCCAGAGCACCGAGCGTGGTGCCACGTAACGGCGCCAGAGCTCAGGTGTCTGTGGCTTGTTTCCCTTTGGCTCCTCGGGATCATTTATGACTGCCTCTCCCCAAGCCAGGACCAGACACAGTTGAAGAATGAATCACTTTATTAGGAAAGGTTAGAGTTATAAAGTGTCTCTCCGCTGGCTCCTAGATGCACGTGCATCCAGCTCAGCCTCACTTTAGGCCCTTTTCTCCAAGCTCCCTACAAGAATTCCCTACAGGATCGTGAGTGCTTATGATTGCTTATCTTTCTATGTGTCTATGGTGACGCCCCCTCCACTTGTCCCTCTGGGCCATCTCCCCCAGCCCTGTTCTCTCAGTGGCTCTGCAGGGAGCTAGATCTGGAGAAGCAAAGCTACTCCAGCCAGCACCCACTTAGATGGCTTCTCCTTAGTCTTCAGGTTGAAAGTCCACACGTAGGTGGGTCCCCGCTGACAAGTCTTGTACACAGGACAAGGATAGACGCTGCGGCAATCTTGCTTATCTGCGGGGACGGCCTTGATGAACATCACAGGCATGGGGGGTGTCAGGTCCTTTAGCTTTGCCTCCGTAATGACCCCAGCCTGAGGACAAGCACATGAGAAGAACCTGGTGAGGTCAGACCCAGAGCGAAGCCTTCTCCAGGCAGAAGATCAGGGAGACGAGACTGGGAAGGGCTCTCTGCCTCTATGCCTGGCCCCTTGCAGGCTTTTCAACAACCCGTGGCGGGGTGCATCTGATACTGTTTTCCAGCCTAAATCACTTTTGGAAGGAGAGGTCCAAAAGCCAGTATTTTTCATGTACAAATTAATCCCTTTGAAGCTTGAGTCCTACTATTATTTTTGGATTCATTCATTTCATAGGCATACTGAATGCAACTATTTGCCTGATGTCGTGCTAGGTGCTGAGGATTTAAAGATGAATAAGACAGGGCTGTCAGCAAATGCTTTAGACCTGGGATACACCCCATTCCAGTTTCTTACGTGACCTCATCCGCCCTCCAGAGCAGAGGAAGCCAAGCTCCCTCTTCACTCGTGGAATGGGGCCTGGCCTTCCTGTAGCCTTGCAGCTGGGCCTCTCTCTGGCTTCCTGAGATTCTCAGTAGAGCGGTCCAGGGCAGGTTTCCCACAGGCCCTGAGAAATGTTCTGAGGGGCAGGAGGGCTCCCTATCCAACAGGCTTGGGAAATGGTGCAACCGTACCTCGGACTCGAAGCTACGGTGAAGGTAAGCAGAAGTCCTAGCAGTAAAGCAAACAGTTTGACTTCGAACCTGGTGTTTCCCAAATTTAGTGGACAACAGGATCTAATAGTTTAGTTTCTCTGCGACCTACTCACTTCCCGGTGCACAAGTGTTTCATGGAATGTGGGGAAACGCTGATACCAAGTGACTTGCAGATTCCCTGCCTGTGTCCGAAACGCCGAGCCCCTTCTGCTATTAATAGGGGGTGGTTTACTTTCTGTGAAAGTTATTTAAAGGCGAGGACGCACCTCCTCAGCTCTGTTAGGGGCTGATGGGAGGCATGATGAGTGACAGACCTGAGGGGAACCCTCCCCCTCCCCCACAACAGAGTGTTTATGGCAGAGAGTAGGAGTAGGGGTAGAACTTTTTCTCCATGTGCCATAAAACCAACCCTTTTAAAATGTACAATTCAATGTTTTTAACGTGTAGTCATCACTTTGTCATTCTAGAACATTTTCCTCCCCCCAGGAGAAACTGACCATTAGCAGTCCCGCTAGTCATGGGGTATTTATGAAATCTCTACATAAATGACATGTTTGTTCCATCCACTTACTTTCAGTCTATTTGTGTCTTTGAATCTAAAGTGCATACAGTCAGGTCATTTAAAAAACTCCATCTTTCCATTCTTTGCCTTTTAATTTTAGTGTTTAATCCATTTTGTATTATGTAATTACCGATAAGACTTAATCTGCCATTTTACTATGTGTTTATGTCAAGTCTTTTTTCTTCCCCTGTTCCTCCATTATTGCCTTATTTTTGTATTAAATAGACATATAGCAGTGTAATATTTTAATTCCCTTGTTTTTTTATTATGTTTTAAAATTATTCTCACTGGTTTGTAAATTAACATCTTAATTTATAAAACTCTGTTCCAGATGAATACCAACTTAATTTCAGTAGTATACAAAAAATTTTACTCTTGTACAGTTCTAGTCCTTCCCTTTCCTGTGCGTAAGAATTTGTGCAGTTTTTATCATGAAAATTACATCTTTGTACATTTTATGACTATCAGCATAGATATATAAGTATTGCTTTATGCAGTTATGCTTCAAATCAGATACAAGAAAAAAGTTAAAAGCAAAAATTCATTTATATTGTCTTTTATATTTACATATGCAAACACCTTTACTGGTCTCTGTCCCTTCATGTGACTGGGGTTGCTGTCTAGGGGCTATTCATTTCCTCCTGAAGGACTCCCTTTTGTATTTCTGGTAGGGCTGCGCTGCTAGAAATGAATTGTCTCTCTTACTTAAAAAACAAAAATCTGGGAATGTCTTAATTTCTCCTTCATTTTTAAAAGATAGTTTTGCTGGATATAGAGTTCTTGGCTGATGATCTCTTTCTTTCAGCACTATGGCTCCATAATTCTACCACCTTCTGACCTTCCTGGTGTCTTATAAGGAATCAGCTCTTGTAAGCAATGAATTGTTTTTGTCTTGCCACTTTCAAGATTCTCTCTTTGCCTTTGTCTTTTAACAGCGACTGTAGCCTGTTGGTTGTCAAGGCTACCAGACTTTGGGTGAGAAGGAAACAGAACAGGGCAAGTTAAAAGGCCACAAAGCTAGCTCTTCTTACTGAGGTTCAGCTGTTTTTTGCAATAAACACTGCTTGGATTGCTGAAAGCCTTTGGTTAATTTCCATAATTCTGAAAATGTTGATTCAGACCGTGTTTTTGGCCAATGTTCTCACTATTTTATGGACGAGAGAATTTTTGGACATCCTTACCCTTACATTTTCGCTGAAATCTTTCTGGAATAGATACTGTAAGAACAAGCGCTTTTGGTAGGCACGTATTGCCTTTTTGGAAATTTTTTTTTGTTTTTGTTTTTGTTTAGTTGTCCTTAGAAACAAGGCAATGAAAAGTTGGAGGCAGATGAGTGGGGTCATGTCCTTTAGCCCCACCCCCCACCCCCTACACAGCGCCATGGCTCGTCCTTCTGAGCTGCTTTCCCACTTTTTCATACTTCTCCCGTTTCGGTGTTTTTGGTACCCCGGCCCCAGCCCCTCTGCACCGCTCCACATGCAGTGCAATCCCTGCGTGGCCTCCCTCGGAGAATCTTACAGAAAAGTTCAGGCGGAGAACTTCCCTCTCAAGGCTCGGGTTGTTTAAAAACATGCCCTGCTTTATGTCTTTTCTGTCAGCTCTTTGCTGGTTTGCGGGGGCTACCAGAACAAGTTACCACAATCTTGGAGGCTTAATGCAACAGAAATGTATTCTTTCAAGTTCTGAAGCCCAGAATTCTAAAATCAAGGGATAGGCAGGGCTGGTTCCTCAGGCGGCTCTGAGGCAGAAGCTGTCCCGTGCCTCTTCCTAGCTCCTGCTGGCTGCTGGCGGTCCTTGGCGTCAGCTGGCGGAAGACGCACCGCTCCAACCTCTGCCTCCGTCTTCCTGGGGTGTTCTCCTCTGTGCTTCCAGCATGGCCTTCTTATAAGGAGGATTTAGGTCCTACTCTAGTAGGACACTGTTTCCAAATAAGGTCACCTTCTGAGGTTCTGGGTGGACATGAATTTTGGAAGGACACTATTCAGCCCAGTAGAGCTGCATATGTATGTTTATACGGCCTTCTAGGACCTTCTAATGGTTGTTCCCTATAATAAGCTTGATACCAACTGCTAGGAATAGGTTAGTGTCATTTGTCAAGTGGGACATTTCACTAAGAACTCCTTCCAGGTCGTATGTATAA